CTTCCAGGGACGGTATCCTTTTATTGGTGCAACTTAATTTATAGAAAAATAAAAATGAATGGACAGATAAAGAGAACCTGATATTCCATTTTCCCAGCACGTCTTCTTGTTTCCTTTTCTTATATGCATGCAAACTTCTTGCCTCGTCCTCCATATATAATCTGGTCCTGACTGGGTTTCCCATCTGCTCTGCACTGAATAGTGTTCCACAAAACCGCATGTCCATCCAGAACCTCAGAATGTGACCTTATTTGGAAATAAAGTCTATGTAAATATAATTAGTTAAATAAAGATGAGGTCATACAGGATTACAGTGGATCCTAAATCCAATGACTGGTGGCCTTATAAGGCCATGTGAAGACAAGAGAAACACAGAAAGAAGAAGGACATGTGCAGATGAAGGCACAGACTGAAGTTATGCTGTCACAAGGCAAGAAATACCAAGGATTGCCAGCAACCACCAGATGCTTGGAAAAGCAAGGAAGGATTATTCTCTAGGGCCTTCAGAGGGAGCACAGCCCTGACAATACCCTGATTTTGGACATCTAGCCTCCAAAATGTCTCTGTAAGAAAATTAATTTCTGTTGTTTTAAACCACTCGGTTTGTGATAATTTGTTATGACTGTCCTGGGAAACTAATACACCATTTCATCCCTCATTCCCCAACCCTCCCATCACATATAACCTCAACGTATTGTATTTTCTCCAAAGCACGCTCTTATTGCTATATGACTTACCTTGTCATTTCAATTGTTAAACATCTTTATTGTCTATTCTCCACCTATCCCCTTAAATTGTAAATTCCATGAAAATCATCACTGGGTCTATTTTATCCATTCCTGTATTTCCAGTGTCTAGCACAGCATCTGAAAAACAATAAACACTGGTCAAATAAATCAATGAATTAATTCGCATATTAATGTTATTTTTTACCTTTCCTATCACTTCCCTGTTCCCTATCACTATATTACTCCATGCAATCAATATCTCCAATTTGGATAATTGCAGCAATTTCCTCAGATGTGTCCCTCATAAGACACACACCTACTGAAATTCATCCTGCAAGGCCATACCTCTCTGGAAAAAGAGAGAGCAAGACTTGGGCTGCTCCTGCAAAAGACCTGGACTTTGGAGAGTCTGTATTTCAGGATAGCTCTCTCAACAGTTCATTCTAGTACAGACTTAGGGAGCATACAAAAGGAATATCTTAATGGTGCCTTCTGGACCTTGACCTTCTGATTCCAAGAGCCTGCATCTCTCACAGTTTAAGAGATGCAGTTAAGAATCTGGGAAAGTATAAAGAGCTGGATTGCTGGTTCCTTAGAGAACATTTGATTCCTGTTGCAGGCATCACTAGTCAGAATCTGTTCCTCTCCTTTGTAGAACCAGAAACTACTTTTTAGTCCACTCAGAGTTTTTCAGGCTTGCAGAACTGACACAAAAACCAAATGTCAGAGACATTCCAAGCCAGGGTGTGAACATATTATAGCCATACTAGCAGCTGATCAGCATATTCTCTCATGTGTAAATTTTACAGAGGAAATTAAATATTAGAACCTGTAATCAGAATAACAGAAGTAATAAAACATTAATGACTATGAAAGCAAACAATGATGGTCTGGGGCATTCACCACCAAAGAGTCAAGGCAAACCAAGCCACACCAAGCCGACTTAAAGCTATATTGGTCCATGTGGTGGTCCCTGAACAGAGGTGGAAAGAGAGTTGTGATCATTGCATGCTATTTTTCTAAACAATGTTACAATATCATTGGTTAGATGAGATTTTTTAGTTCTATTTAAGTTTTATGCTCATTCCCTTTTTCAAACTTTAGATGTGCAGAAAACCTTTCTCAGCCACTCATTTACCAACCCAACACCTGAGTAGAGCACTCCTACTTCACTCTCAGAGATTTCTACAAATGGTAACCACATCCTTTACAAAGGGGATGTAATAACTTCACTCTGGCTTAACTGTTTTTTAGTCAAATGGGGTTAACAGCAAAGAACAGAATTCTGGCGCAAGGTCATATACTCTTAAGGTACTCCTTTTATGTTACCTGAGACCATCTTACCAGAGAGGTCCATGTGTTCATCTCACTTGTCTGAGAGTCAGACTGGTATCCATTTGGGGCCCAAAATCTTTGACCACAAAGGTTCTTTCCTAGTTTAAAATGCAACGTGTTTCACAAAAGTGGAGTTAGAATTAGGTGCTGAAGCCCAAGAGGACACCCAGATAAGGATTTAGACATAGAACCTCAGATTAAGAGTCTGATACACAAATGACTGAGCTACTCAGACCCCATGAAACAGCTGTTCTCCTCTATGTTCTGGGGTGAGGAAAGCATATAGACAAAGTCTGAATGTCTTCTTTTTAAATTCTGGCCATGTTCTTTTTCCTTATTCCCAAATCTATCCTTGCCCCTCTGAATATGGCTCACAACTACTTCAGTTCCCAGCCCATGGGAACATTTACTGTGGGGACTGTAACCCAAACAATTTCTTCTGAAAGTTGTATATAACCAAAGACGTAAAAACCTGGTTATTGAAGTCCTAACCTTTTGTACCTCAGAACATGGCTGTATTTGGAGACAAATGGTGATTAAGTTAAAATGAGGTCCTTAGGGTGGGCCCTAATTCAATCTAATTGATGTCCTTATATGAAGAGGAAATTTAGACACACAAAGGAATAGCAGGGATGGGGGTGCACAGAGGAAAGACACAGTGGGAAGGCCATCTGCAAACCAAGGAGAAAGTTCTCAGAAGAAACTAAATCTGATGACACCTTGATTTTGGACTTCTAGCCTCCAGAACTGTGGGAAAGTAAATGTCTATTGTTCAAGTCACCTAGTCTGTGGTATTTTGTCACAGAAGCTCTAGAAATCAAATATAACTACACAGCAGGGCCTCCAGTGATTTCATATTTTGATTTTTACAACACATGAAATAACCAAAGATGTACATATATGAACTAAGGACAGTATGAAGGGCTAAGAACAAAGACTGGATTGATTCACTATTTGGGAGTTGAAGGGTACTGTCATGTTAACATACACCTAGAAAAAGCAGATTTGTTTGCCTGCTATTTGTTTCCATCAGCTCTGCCATAAAGAATGATCTTTGACCTGGAATGTATAAACAATCCATATGTCTGGACCAATGGAGAAGTAGAGCGAAATGAGATTAGAGAGAAAAGGCAGACAGAAACCATGTAGGGAGGTGCTTTGTGTGCCGTGAGACTCAGAACGTTTTTCCTATTTGGGGAGTTTTTTAAAGGTTTTAAACAGAAAAGCAATGTGATTTAGAAGATCACTCTGTCAATATGTGATTGGATAGGAGGAAGATGATGCAAGGAGACAGGGAAGGAGGCTCTCTCTCGGGTATTCCAGGTAGCAAGATAGAATCTGAAGGCCTTGGACACTGACTGATAAGTTAAAAGGCAGGCCTAGGATGACTCGCAAGCTTCTAACTGGGGAGACTGGGTTGCTGGAATAACCTAAGAGAGTAACTCTAGGAACAAGAGTATTTGAAGGAGTACAGAATGTGGGAGTCTCAGTGTGGGGTGCAGGAGATCCAAGCAGGGATTCCTGCAAGCTAGAGAAGCTCAGTAGAACCCTCTAGATTAAAGGAGTAAATTGGAAGATAGACAAAGATATTGGTTCAAATGAGGTCACTTGAAAATCCTTCAGAGAAGAAAACAGCACTGAGGAGGGAGCCGTGAGTAACCCTGATAGGTAAACAGAGAAGGGAAGAGGTGTTCTCTGAGAAGACTGAGAATGACCCTGTCACAGAGGTATGAGGACCACTTGGAGAAAGTAATACCTCCAGCAGTTCAGCAAAAGACTGAATGAGTCAAGAAGGGTGTGGTCACCAGTGTCAAATGTATTGAGAGACATCTTTTATATTTAGTCTAGTTTATTGTCCGTCATTCTCCACTAAAATATAATAACTCCATTAGGGTAGGAGTGTTTTCTGTTGTATACAGTGCTGTACCTTCAGCCCCTGTGTATCACTCAAGGTCTAGTTAAGAAATAACACTAGGAAATTCAATTGGGGAGCACTGTGATAACCAAGAGATTATAACTACGGAAACTAGCTATCACTTTCTAGGGCTGGAAGAACAAAACGAAAGAGGTTGGGACCATGGAGCTGTAAGGAGGAAGCATGGTACTGCACCACTGATGCTGCTAGTATGTCTATAGGGCACAGTGAGATGATTCTGGGAATGCATACAGAAAATGGAGGTTAGAATCCACTGCCACTGTTGGGGTAACCCTGACAGGAAGAGTAAAAATCATAGAAGCAGTCCTTCTTCCCTTTTCCTGCCTTCCAGTCTCCCTTGACAGAGAAAACCAAGAGAAATTAGTTATTAGATCACCTAGCATAAATAGGGAGGGTTTCAATAAGCACATTTATAATTGGATTACATACATACATGTACGTTGCCAATTCATCTCCTGTAGCATTAGCATATAAAATCTCCACCTAGGGGTGGGAAATTTAGCATAAAATGAGGAAAAGGCAATCATCAGACACCAAATTTTTCTTATGCACATGTTACAAGTTGTTTGTGTCTTGGTTCATTGATTATCTGACCAAGAGGTCTCTAAACCTAGGACATAGTGGCTCTAAAACTTGTTAAAACAATAGGTTGACATGAAAAACAAAAAGTATTGGAGCCCTACAGAGCCAGTGGTCTGAGTCACAAGGCATTTTATCAGGACTTAGGTATGTGGGGTTGGACTGGTCTCTCCATTTTTTCTCCCTATCTGAAAAGGACCATAAGAAGTTTGGAATATTTAAGTCTTGGTGAAAAAGTCACTATTTTGTGACTATTACATGGTTCAGTTAAACAACAGAAACTACCCTTTCATTTTCATGAATCAATTTCCTATATTTAAAAAAAAGAGATATTGTACACTTTTCGACTTATGAAATAGAGAAAGAACAAGAAACTTTTTTTCAGTCTTGCTTTCTTTGGCTGTCGAGCAGGAAGTCTGCGTTGTCCCCTCTGAGGTTCGAACTCAGGACCTTCAGATTATGAGACTGACGCGCTGCCTACTGCGCTAAAAAGGTACCTGCTTTTTCAGGTTGTTCCACACTTCTACTGGCATCATAAGAAATATTCTTAAATTCTTTGAATAGCAGTGCTTCAAAGTATGACAGAACTGAGATTTAATTCGTGTCCAAAAATATTCAGACTTTGGATAGCAAAGCCACGCAGGATAAGCCAGGGTCGACCACCAGCCCAACCCCACTTCCCTCGCGGACGCTTCCACGAAAACTAGGGGGCTGAGGGCTTAGAGAGGCACCCTTCCGCGAGGCAAAGACTCAAAGCTGGGACTGCGCTCTTCCGCTTCGCTTGTGCGGTTTCGTGGTGGCGCTCGGTCCCCGAGACGGATGCAGGAGGACCTTGGGATTCTTTCCTTGCTTCTCCTTAGCAGCCCCCGGACTCAAAGCAAACGCCCGGGCTGAAGGCCGAGGGCTTACTCCCAGGTCCAGGTGGAGCCCGCAGCTTTCACTGGCATTCTTGGTCTGCGTGACTCTTTCCTGTGTTGGAGACAAACGGGGAAGGAGCCACCTCCCTCGCCACCTGCGGCGTCCCCTTTCAGGGTCAACCTGGGAGCCCTGAGAAAGCGAATGTCGGGGGTCACACAGGCCGGGCGGTTCTCGGGCTGTGCTCCTGAGGGTTGGGGACAATGCTGGAGGAAGGGTCCTAGAGGAGGCGCGGCAGTTCACGAAGAAAGGATGAGAAAGGGGCTAATTCAGGTCGGAGAAAAGCAAGTGAAAAAGCGGCCTGCGGGTGGTACCGTGGCCGAGCGATTAAAGTTCCAGTTCCTCCGGGAACGTGCGTTCAAAGCCCACCGCTACGAGGGATGTCTTCCACCCTCTCTAGCACGGAAATATTTTTTTTGCCGAATAACAGCTCTTACAGGCTTTAAATGCAGGCAGGCTCCTTAGCTCCTACCACCTCTGTTTTCCCAGAAGCTACAGATTACAACCATATACACTGTCCTCAAGTCACATGATAGGCCTTCAGTTAGTTAAGTCAATTAATAAAAAGCTGATGAGCATCTAGCGTGTGTATTACTCCCTACATCATTGTATTTTCACACACACCCCTTCCCCAGAAATATCCAACATATAACAGACCTTCATTTAATTCATTCTTTTATTTTAAAAAGTGTATTCAGCGCCTACTATGTGCCAGGCACTTACTGCAGTAAGATACAGCAGTACTTTCTCATTATTGCATACATAATTGCATACATAATTACATACATTGTTAGATAAATGTTGGATGAATGAATAGCTGTCAGTCTCCCTGAACCCTCTTGCAACTGGAGACAAATCCTGTCTACCACTGTTCTCAGCGTCCCCGCAAGCCTTCTCATTTCACATTTTGAACCTTAATTATGCTGACCTGAGCTGTGGCGACTCACTGCAAGGCGCCTCGCCTTGTCACTCAACTGCCCCTCACATCCCAACTAGGGTCACTCTCCCCTCTCTGCAAGCGTTTCTGCGTCTTCAAGGCTTAGGCGCCCTCTCTCTGCTCCTGGCAGTTCCCTCTGCCCTCAAGGCTTCTCCTCATTCTCAAGGTCTCAGCTTGGAAGTTGCTTTCTCCTGGAAGCCTCCTGTGCTCTCTCCCTCCAGAATTATAATTAGGCACTGAGGATATGGAGAGAACTAGAGAGAGTGTTACAAGGGATTTTGCATTAGAATTATAATAGCCCAAGATGATACAATTTCTACTGTAGTAAAGAGTGAGATTGAACTATGAATGACATCTTAGATATATTGTTACCAGAATAAAGAACGTTACGAAATAGAAAAACAGTACAATGTACAGAAGTACACACCCAAGATGCAACATTTATCCCCTTTAGACTTGACAGGTTTAGCCTATGGAGGGAAGGAAAAGGAAAGCTCAAAGAAGTCTAACGCTGGGCTATCCCACTGAATATTCATTCGTTCGTTCATTTATACATTCATTTACTCATCCTTTCATCTGTGCGTTCATGCAACAAGCATTGATTAAGCTTGTACTACATACCAGACCTTGGTGTATCAAAGAGAAATGAGGGCCCGTCCTACACTTAAGGTATTTGGGAATGAGAGGACAGATTTTAAAATTTCAAGCCTATACTTACAGCTGAGCAGGAGGCACCAAGACACTCCGAGGTTGCTCTAGAGGCATCTGCAGGTATTCTAGAATGAGTAAGTAAAGCTGTTGAAAGGAGATATTATATTTTCTTTTCTCCCTTTTAAACGATGCAATTAAAATCCACAGTTTCTGCATGGTGGGAATGAAGGAGAATCAAACCGTCAGAGGAAACAATATTCTCGGATCAGAACTATCCCCTGCTCCTGTCATCTAGGGAAAGAAACGTGGGAAGAGGACGCAATGGAAACAGAAAAACCCCTCCCAGTCACCTCCCACACTGTTTGGCTTTTCTATTGCCCTATGGTTGGAAAATGCAGACATTTTTCCATCCAAGAAAAATGTCCCCATAAACTTTTAAAAAATCAATTAGGAAGAAGAGGCAGAACTTTTGTTTAAAGTACTAGTTCATTTCCAGGTGTATTCTGCACGTCTTTCTCATTTAAAAATAAAAGTGAAAGATAAATAGGGTGCGTTTACCTCCAGCAGGCGGGTTCCATGGTGTAATGGTTAGCACTCTGGACTCTGAATCCAGCGATCCGAGTTCAAATCTCGGTGGAACCTTTGGTGTTATTCCCTCACCTTTTGACCTTCCAAACATATATAATGTACTGGGAACCCTTCCGGCACTTCTGTTTTTGATGCGCTCAGGCAACGAGGAAGAACACAAGACCATATGGTCCCTATGTCCCGTGAGTTCAGGACCTGCATGTAATCACGGAGTCTGGATACAAGGCTTTCATCTGCTTTCATCAGATAAATTTTTCTCTCAGGACGCCCCCGGGTTTCGAACGTTTAGTAAACGCGTCTTTAATGAACAACCAGAGCAGAGTAGAACGTAATCCACGATAAAGCAGCAACCAAAACGGAGAAAGGAAACAGACCCCGTTGAGGATCCGTCCCGGGGATAGAAAAGGAAAAGGTAGGGAGAAAAATGAAAACATAAGAGTGGTGAAACAGTGATTGAGATTAAAGGGAAAAAAATGTATGTCAGAAGTGGGATTCGAACCCACGCCTCCACAAGGAGACCAGAACCCTCCAGGTGAGGAAGACTAAACTTGAGTCTGGCGCCTTAGACCACTCGGCCATCCTGACAGCCGCCTGCTCTACTCAATGAATAAATTCTTCAGTTATCCTAAGTGTGTGTGCCCACTGTAAGGCACTGGATGTCTTGCAGCAGAGGGCTTGTTCAAGAAACGGGAATCTAAATGCTTACAAACTAACTGAGCCTTTCTCTCAGTGTCTCAGTGGGAGCAGGAGTGAGGCTTGCCAGGCTTTCTCTTTGATCCAGGCCACAACTGGCCTTTTCTCTCCTCTCTGCAGTTCCCTGCACGTCCGGGGCACCGGAGCGCAAGGATCCCAACCATCAGGAACCAACTCCAGACTGAACAAGAGAGAATCCCTTTACCCCGACAAGAAGCACCTGGCGTGGGGTGGGCTAGCGAAAAGACGTCTGGCAAACCAAACCAACTGACGGGAGCTCAACGCGGGGAGAAGCGAGCGAGCCAGTGTAGACCTGGGGAAAACCGCCGAGTTAGTATGCCCAGAGAGGGGCAGTGAGTGGGGTTTAGGGGCCTTGAGCGTAAAGACTGGCTGTTGTGAGTTGGAGGAGCTGGCCTTTTCGGGAATTGAAAGAGGGACAATCGCGCGAGTGAAAAATCAGATTGGCGTGAAGAGGAAGCCGGCTCTGACCCCAAATCCCGAGATCCCTTCCTCCGCCAAACTCCAGAACCCCACAGGCAGGTTCAGCCCTGCTCGGTCTCCTTGTGGCAAGAGGTTTAAGGTTTGTCAGTGAAACTGATCCCAGGGATAAAGAACCACAGACATTGACATTTGAAGGTCCCCCAAGGAAATAGCCGGGTCTCCAAGCGATCCCCAAAGACCCTCCAAGTCTGCAAGGTTGGTCCATCCCCACGCAGCTTTCATAATCGGGTTTTTAGTTCCTTATTTTAAATATGAACTACGACCAAGAATCACCAGATGTTTTTGAAATAGTTCCACAGACAAGGACAGGAGGCAAGGCAAGGAACTAAGATGAAACAAACACAATGCAAGAAACTAGATTTTTTGTTGTTGTAATTAAATCTTTGGTAAGATACTGAATTCATGAAACAAGGAAAGAGGAGGAGAGTTCTTAAAATTAATATGATGATGGCAGATTTTTTTAAAACTATTTCAAATAAAGATGTAGAAATTGCCCAGAAAGTGTGGGGTAGACATGGAAAGTAGGAGAGAATAAGAAAATAAAAGGGTGTAAACCACAATGTTGCTCATGTAATTGTATATTAATGATACCAAAATTTAAAAAAAGAAAAGAAAAAGGTGTATAGCAGAAAGTATGGCATCAGACTACCGAGGTTTCCAGGAAGAGAAAAGGAGAAAATGAAAGAAAGGAGATAAAGACATAACACAAGATTATTTTCTAGAATTGACGATTTTAAATCTCCAGATTAAAAAAGGCCCATCAGAAGCCTCACATCAATGCTTATAATCATGAAATATCAGAACCTAAGGGATAAAGTGAAGATCCTCAAAGTTTCCACAGAGAAAACAAACAGGTTGAATATAAAGGATTAGGAATCAGAATGGCATCTTTCTTCTTAACAGCAACACTGAAAGCTGGAAGGCATTAAAACAATGCCTTATAAATCATTTCCATGAAGGAAAATAATTTCCACACTAGATTTCTGAACCCAACCAAACAATCAAGCATGAGGGGACATTTTCAATCTTGTAAGGTCTCAAAAAAAATTTACCTCCCATGACCCCTTTCTCAGGAAGCTTCTGAGGAATTATTCCACCAGACAGGGAATTAAACTCAGAAAAAGGAGGGTGTGAAATCCAGTAATAGGGGACCTAACACAAGAAAGAGGTGAAGATAAGTTCCAGGGTGCCACTGCGTAGAGAGCAATCA